GTAGTCCCAGCTACTCGGGAGGCTGAGGCTGGAGGATCGCCTGAGCCCAGGAGTTTGAGGTTGCTGTGAGCTAGGCTGACGCCACGACACTGTAGCCCGGGCAGCAGAGCCAGACTCTGTCTCAAAAAAAAAAGAAAATGAGTTTATCTCTTTAGGAAGAATGAAAGGAGTTCAGCCTTGTTAAATAATTTAAAAAGGAGCCATGGAAGGTTTTCTGCATGGCTGGGAGAGTGACAAGGGAAAAGCAGTGTTTGAATTGTCAGGAGGGGTGGGAGTCCAGAGAAGCTGGAGTGAGAAAGGAAGGCCTGCGGGAAAGTGGCATCGCAGGCACAGGCAGTGAGAGCGAGGGTTGGGAGGGGCAGTGAGAAAGGGTAGAAAGAGGCAGATATTTCGATGGAAAATCTGACCAATCCCATGACATTCTGGGGAAGGGTGGCTCCAACATAACTACAAATGGCCTGGCAATTTTATCAAAAGAAGGAGAGGTGATCTGGGAGAGGAGAAGAGTGGTTTGGGCTAAGTTCGCACAGGGATGATAGTGGCATCCAGTTGCTATCCAATTAGAGACCGAAGTCTTGAGAAGGGTAGAAAAGGCACGTTAGAGATGTGGACTCGAGCATGTCGCACAGAGGTCGTCCAGGACTGGTGTCGATCTTCAGTGATGCCTGTTGATTTCTCCCATAGTGTTCTAGTTAGAGTCCAGCTTCCACAGCACTGATACAGGTTGAGTATCTCTTATCTGAAATGTTTGGGTCCAGAAGTGTTTCAGATTTAGGATTTTTTCAGATTTTGGAATATTTGCTTTATACCATACCAGTTGAGCTGCACTAATCTGAAAATCCGAAATCCAAAATGCTGCGCTAAGCATGTCCTTTGAGTGTCATGTCGGTGCTAAAAAAAGTTTCAGATTTTGAAGCATTTCTGATTTCAGATTTCCAAACTAGGGATGCTCAACCTGTAATGACAGCACAGAAATGTCAGCACCAGCAGCGTCAGCTGAGTTGTATTTCCAGTTTGGTGTCCTGTTGAGATTGAGAGTCACACTGAATGGTGTCTATGTTGGTGACACCCTCAGTAAGTGGAGGTTTGGGGTTTTCAGAGACATATATTGCCAATCACTGGGTGTTTGAGTGCACTTGGAAGATTGCCGTGTTGGCCGTTTCCTGCCTGCCCCTCCAGAGCTCTGGGACTTCCCATGTGATGAGTTATCTTTGCCTCTCACCGTGTGAGCTGCAGATGTTCCTCCGTGCTTCTTCATTAGGCAAAGTAATAAGCACTTAACATTTAAACATATGTTGCAACACACCAGAATCTGAAAGGAGGTCAGATTCATAAATCCCTTGTTTCTTTAAGTAAAAATTATAATTGTGTTTCTGCTGTGGTATAAACTCTCGATTCCTATAAGACCATTGTGTTTTGAAATGGTTTTAATCTCAAATTCTTTCTGGCTGACCTGGGCAAAGTAGGAATGATCTTTTTCCCTCGAGTGACAGCTTCTTTTTGCAAGTTATCTCAGGCTATAACCAAGTTTTGGTATTTTCAAAGAAGTTTTCTCTCTTATAAAAAAATTACAAAGGTCAACTTTTGAATGATTTTGCAAAGAGAAATGAATGAAGTCCTGAGAGAAGTTCAAAGGACTCTACATTCTCCATGGGATGAATGTGTGGAGTCTTTGGTGCCATGCCAGAATGCTTTTTAAGTTACAGCTGTTATGAGAAGAGCAATGCAGCTGCAAAGAGTAATGCAGAAACAAACTTGCCTCTGGATTCCTTCCTCTCTGTTTCTGCAGGCTTCTTCCATCGGGACTTAAAGCCTGAGAACCTCCTCTGTATGGGACCAGAACTTGTGAAAATCGCAGACTTTGGATTGGCCCGAGAAATCCGATCAAGACCTCCATACACAGACTATGTATCTACCAGATGGTAAGTACTGTTTTTCTCAAAATTACTTAATTGCACTTCTTCAGAAAGATACTGTTAGACAGAGAATATTATTAAAGTCACATTTACTTTTCACTAAGAGAAACAATGCAATCTGCAACACATATTTGTAGGTGTATTGGCATTGTATGAGGTTAAAAGCTTGTGTCGTAAATAGTGTTGAAAGGAATCTTGTTGTGCTTTTCCATAATATAAATAAGATTTTATATGTAGGCCTTTCTGAGGACGGTTTCCCAAAAGAGGTATGTAAAAGATTCTCCAAAAGACCTGTCTGAAAATCATCTAATTGCTATTGCAAAAACTTTCAGCCCCTAGGAATTTGATTTGAGCAGTTTGCCATGACCAAGAAGTAGACTACACACAAGTTTCTCTCTCTCTTTTTCCTTCCCTCTCCCTGTCCCTCTCCCTATTTCTCATTCTCTTTGTATTTCTCGGAGATGCTGTAGGGAAGATTCCTGCAGAGAAACGCTCAGTAGAAAATACCATGCAGTAGAGAAGCACTGCTTTTCGACAATAGCCATGGCAGTTGCCAAGTCATCACAAGCCCATGTGACACAGTGATCTAGAAAGAAAACAGAGAGATACAAACTTTCTCATCGAGAATTGTTATGTAATTTGATTTCTGACCAGTGGGAGCAATAGCTAGTGGTTAACCTTTGTCCCCCCAGGTACAGGGCTCCAGAAGTGCTCCTGAGGTCGACCAACTACAGCTCCCCCATCGACGTCTGGGCCGTGGGCTGCATCATGGCAGAAGTTTACACCCTCAGGCCGCTCTTCCCTGGGGCCAGTGAAATTGACACGATATTCAAAATTTGCCAAGTGTTGGGGACACCGAAAAAGGTAACAATAGGGAACAAAGGCCTGTGGGCCAAAGCCAGCAGCTTCCCATGTCCCCTCCCCTCCAGCCATCTGCTGCACTGGCACCGTGGAGCGCCTGCCCGTTCTAGAACCTTTCTGTTGACCTCGGTCATTCGCCACTGCCCACGTTCTCGGACATGGCCAGCTTCTCTTCCTCCTTCTACTCTTAAGTGTGAAATCTGTCACAGCTCCCTCTGCTTTGCTCCGCATCATCTCACCTCCTGTGTAGAGCTTCTCTATTTCCATGGCTACAATGCTTCTGCCTGTTCAGAAGTCTCCCCTGTGTAATCTAGCCTTAGCCTCCCTCCTCTATAATTCCGTTCACATATTGGCACCATCACCTTGAGCTCAACACGTCTGAAACAGATGGCTCTTTGTTTGCCACCCGCCCTTCCCCTTCTCTTCTTTCCCATTTCTGCGTGTGGTCCCATCCTCACCCCAGAGCCCCAGCCTGGAGGCTGAGTTTCAGCTTTACCTTCTCTCCTTCCCTTACTCCCTTTCCCTTTATCCAAGAGGTTGGTCAGTAAATCCTGCTGAATATGGCTGTATTACATCTCACGTGGCTCTCGTCCTTTCAAGTTCCCTGCTGCCATCACGGATGACCATGATCGCCTTGCCTGTGTCTGAGGGTGTCTTCTCAATCTTTCTGCCTTTGAGTCTTTTCCTACCAGCTGGTCTGTCAGTCACTGGCCGGATTCAGCCTCCTAAAAAACAGCTCTGGCCCTGTCCTCTCCCAAAATATTCGCCGACTCCCCACTGCCCAGCCCCCTCGACTCCTGTGTCTGTTCCCCACTGCGTCCCCGCACACTTCCTGGCTGTGTGCCCTGGAGTTCCCCACCTCTGCGCTCTGCACACACCCCCTCGCCTGAGTGAATGCCGTGGCCAAATCCTGCTCTTCTTCCGAGGCCCCAAATTATCTCCCTCCGACTGTTTCTCTAATGTCCTCTCCATCTTCAGCCCTGTCCTATGTTATTAATATAATTGCTTGTAGACATACCCGTTTCCTGCACCATAAGCTCAGTCAGGGCAAGGATTTGTCTTGTGTTTGCTTTGCCAGCTTCCAGCTCCGTTGCTGATACAAACGAGACCCTCAACATTTTTTTTTTTTTTGAGACAGAGTCTCACTCTGTTGCCTGGGCTAGAGTGCCGTGGCGTCAGCCTAGCTCACAGCAACCTCAAACTCCTGGGCTCAAGCAATCGTACTGCCTCAGCCTCCCAAGTAGCTGGGACTACAGGCATGCGCCACCATGCCCAGCTAATTTTTTCTGTATGTGTAATTTTAGTTGTCCAGTTAATTTCTTTCTATTTTTTAGTAGAGACGGGGTCTTGCTCTTGCTCAGGCTGGTCTTGAACTCCTGACCTTGAGTGATCCACCCACCTCGGCCTCCCAGAGTGCTAGGATTACAGGCGTGAGCCACCGCGCCCGGCCTGACCCTCAACATTTTTAAAAAAATCATTGGAACGAATCGTTAATGCCACCTCTTCAAGGTTTCTCAAGTCCCCTGCTGAAATCTCTCCCTCCTCTGCGTATTTGTATCTGTACCTCTCTTGTGGCCTTTGTCACTTTTTACTCTGTATTATTGTGTTTTTTAATAAATGTCCTATTTTCTCTTTTAAGGACAGTAATATCCCTAAGGGCAGGATTTACATTGGGTTATTTTTGGATATCCAACAGCACTAAGCATATAGTAGGCAGCTCAGAACTATCTAAGTGAATGAATGATATAAGCTATACATAGTGCCACTTGGCTTTCAAAAAGGTGAGGAGAGAGCAGTTACATTAGGGTGTATCTTATAAAATAGCAGAGTTTCAGAACTAGAAGGAACCTTGACCACTTGTTCAGGACTTTCCTTCATTCCAACATTCAGTGTCCCATAAATACGAAACATGGAAAAGTAGAGGGCTTGACGCTGGGTGGAACAGCTTTCTTTACTGCTGGTCTTCGCAGCTCATATGCTTTGAATCAAGCTGGAAGTATAGGAATATGTAGGATTTCACAAATTTATCTGACCAGGAACGAAGTGTTTTATTTTATCTTCCTCCCCCCACAAAATATTTCATTAGCAGTTTTCAAAACCTCTGCCTCATGGAACACAGTTGCAGAAATACTAATTTGGTTCAACCCCCAAATCTCAGGAGATAGACCATCTTATGTAAAGGTTATAAAACAAGTTGGGGACAAACCCAGTGTCTTTTCCACTGTTCTCCAGATTTCCTGTCCTCCTCAGTCTCTTCATTGACACGACCGTGTGTCTGAGCACACTTGGTGCCGCGGCAGTGCCTACAGGCGGGGTGACTGCGTGATTGCCTTTCCATTCGAGGCACACATGTCAGAATACAAACTCGTGTCTCAGCAGTTGGCTGAGCGAGGTTTTCTGTCATTTCCTTCTTTCAGACCGACTGGCCTGAAGGCTACCAACTGTCAAGTGCGATGAACTTCCGCTGGCCCCAGTGCATACCCAATAACCTAAAGACCTTGATTCCCAACGCTGGTAGTGAAGCCATTCAGCTCCTGAGGGACATGCTGCAGTGGGATCCCAAGAAACGACCAACAGCTAGTCAGGTTTTCTTCCACTTTCTTCTGTTTGATGCATTTCTTATGAAGTTCACATGTAACCCTGAATAATTTCTATCAGTTGCATGGGAAATACTTTATTTCAGTATTGTGGGTGAGAAATAGCATTCAATACCACTGATGGTGTACTGTATGAGGTATAAGAACTTAAAATAGTTTGAAACATGCTGTTGTGCAGTTAAAGTCGTTAAGGTTTAATGTAGTTGCTTTGAAAAGCAGCATATAATTCACATGATACATCACCATATATATGGAAATGAAAATGAACAGATACATCTATCTGTCTTTGGAGGATGTTTTCAAATATACTGTCTATGAATTAAGATTATGTAGTATTTTGTTTTTAAGCCAGCACTTGTTAAAAGGCAACTTCATACCTTGTAAAGTTCAACTCATTCATTTTACCTCTGACAGAGAGATCGACAGATGAGACAGAGCTAGGATAATAACTGCAATTAGCATTCTATAGCACTTTACAGTTTGCAGATGCCTTAGTATATTTTATGTGATTTTTAACCCAATGAAGACTCCATGAGATAGGCATCATTGTTTTCACTTCTGTGAGAAAATTGAATCTCAGAAAACTTAAGCGATTTACCCTAATCAATCCTCCAGTAACTAGTAGATATAGTATAACCAACTACCATTCAACCAACTCACCTAAAGTGTAAAGTCAGGTCTGCTGACTTCATCCTCCTACTTTCTCAACCCACCCTCCCCCAGGCCACTTTGACTGAGATTACGAAATGCACCCGAAAGAAGAGGTATGGAGGAGGCGTGGTAATGCTATCGGCTCATATGCTCACATGCCTCCTGCAAGCCTCCTCTCGCATGAGTTGTGTCTGGCCCCTTCTCAACTTGTCTCGTTGACAATTACATTGCTCAGGGGAGGAAATAAATGACGAGTTCTAATCAGAGAAGACAATTTGGCTAAGCAAAAGTGATGGGGATATCTTAAGGAAGTATCCATGTGATGTTAGAATTTGTGATAGCTGGAGAGATGATAGTTGGAGGAATAATTAAGGAGTTTAGAAAAGCAGTTTTCCAAAGGCTCAGAGAAGAAAGAGCCATGATTTAGTGCCATAAAACTCTGGAAGGCGCAAGAGGTTTGGAAAGCTCTCAAAAGTGTACTTCTGGCAGTGAGAGTCACAGATGGTTGCAGGGCAGAGAGGAGGCATTTTGATAAACCCAGTTTTTTAAATGATAACATGCCAGAAATGAAAAGAAAAGGATTCTGTAACATGGAACCAAGACAGGAATATGTGCTTTTAAGAATAGTACCAGAAAAGTTAAAAATACCCCCCAAATCCGTTGAGACTTACAGTGCCTACAGAGAAGGCTTTCACGTTGGATGCCGGAGTCTAGAATATCCACATTATTTGCCCCTGTACCTGTACTTACATATAATCATTACGGATGTTTGTAACCATGTTCCAGACTCACTAAGAAAAAGTATGTTCAATGCCTTTCATTCAAAAAGACAAGAGAATACAGGGAATATTTCAGAAAGAATTGTAAACCCCCGAACTTTAAGATTTAGAAAACTCAATTATCCAGAGCAACTGACAAGGTTTAGTTGTTAGTTGTTCTTGATAGGGAAGCTTTAACTATACCCTGTATTACACCCTTGGCACTTCTGGGGTAAAAATGTATGTGCCTGCTCATTTTGTACTTGATTGTTCAGAGTCCTCCAGGATCATGTTTGGCTCTTTCAGTTTCATATTAGCTTTTTCTCTCTCTGTGGAATGAGGAAATAAGTTTAGAAGAGTGAAATATATTTAAGACACATAGCACATAAGCTACAAAACCAGGATCTGTGTTGAGCCACAGTGCTTTCCAGAAGTAGGGAAGGTAGCAGCATTGTAACTGGATACTTTATCCAAGTGATTTAAAGTGTTGTAACCAGAACATATATTTTATGGCATCTTAGTTAAGGAAAATCAGAAGAGGTGTTGCAAATTCAGGATGCTGTTTTTATAGGTGGGTTGGGCTAAGAAACTGTAGTAAACTAGTCACATGAAATGTAGCCCAGTCATCATGATGGTATTAACTTTCCTGACGAGACATTTCTCCTAAAGCCATCTTTGTCATTTCAGGCGCTTCGATATCCTTACTTCCAGGTTGGACACCCACTGGGCAGCATCACACAGAGCCTTCAGGATTCAGGAAAAACACACAAAGACACCCTGGAAAAGGCAGGCCCACCTCCTCACATTAAGCCAGCCCCTCCTGCCCAGCCCCCGACCAAGCCACACATGCGGATTTCTGCACGACCGCATCAAGCCAGCCAGCCCCCTCAGCATCTCATGTGCCCCTACAAAGCAGAGGCCTCCAGGGCAGATCACCCGAGCCAGCTCCAGGAGGACAAGCCCAGCCCACTGCTTTTCCCATCCGTCCACAACAAGAACCCTCAGCCGGTGAGCAGCCTCAGGGTTCACCAGTGAGCTTTGTGTCTGGCGTGTTCCTCTTCCGACCCCACTTACTGGGCGAAACATTTTCCTTCTTAATACACAAGGTCTGGCCGGGCGCGGTGGCTCACGCCTATAATCCTAGCACTCTGGGAGGCCGAGGCGGGAGGATCGTTTGAGCTCAGGAGTTTGAGACCAGCCTGAGCAAGAGCAAGACCCCGTCTCTACTAAAAATAGAAATTGGCTGGACAACCAAAAATATATAGAAAAAATTAGCCAGGCATGGTGGCACATGCCTGTAGTCCCAGCTACTTGGGAGGCTGAGGCAGGAAGATCGCTTGAGCCCAGGACTTTGAGGTTGCTGTGAGCTAGCCTGATGCCACGGCACTCTAGCCCGGGCAACAAAGCGAGACTCTGTCTCAAAAAAAAAAAGAAAAAATACACAAGGTCTAATTATGTTAGATACATCTTTGCAACAGCATGAAATTGTGAAAAGACCCTTGGCTTTGGAGTTAAAGATCTAAATTCAGGTTCTGGCTGTGCCTCTTACTGACGATGCAGCCCCTTGGGAGCTGCAGTGGGGAGGTGGTCGAGAGCTGGACTCTGCAGCCAAATCACCAGGGTCTCAAACCTCAGCTCTGCTATGGGACAGCTCGATACCCTGTGTACCCCTCCCCCCCGGTCTCTCTGCTCCTCATTTTCTCGTCTATAAAATAAAGAGAATAATAGCACCTACCTGATACAATTGTTTTGAGGACTAAATGAGTTAATACCTGAAAAGAATTTAGAATAGTACCTAGCATACCTAGTTAGAGCTCAATAAATGTTAGTCATTGTTATTATTAATCCCTGCGGACTCAGTTTCCTCATCTATAAAATGAAGATCATAATGCATGTCTTGCCTACCAGACAAGGTCGTTCATAAGGATCAAAAGCCATGATGCTTGTGAAGGTGCTTTGAAAATAATAAAGTGCCATACTGATATTTGTAGAGTATTATTCACATGAATGCCGTTAATGCTGGGCTATTAATTGAGCCCAGATCCTTCTTATGCTGTTGCCCTGGTTTTCAAAAGGAAACCATGAGTGTTGGATTCAATAAAATGATCACCTGACAAGGGATTCTAGCCTGCATTAGCTTTTTTTTTTTTTTTTTGAGACAGAGTCTCGCTTTGTTGCCCGGGCTAGAGTGAGTGCCGTGGCGTCAGCCTAGCTCACAGCAACCTCAAACTCCTGGGCTCAACGATCCTTCTGCCTCAGCCTCCCGAGTAGCTGGGACTACAGGCATGCGCCACCATGCCCGGCTAATTTTTTCTATATATTTTTAGCTCTCCAATTAATTTCTTTCTATTTTTAGTAGAGACGAGGTCTCGCTCTTGCTCAGGCTGGTCTCGAACTCCTGAGCTCAAACAATCCGCCCACCTCGGCCTCCCAGAGTGCTAGGGTTACAGGCGTGAGCCACCGCGCCCAGCCCCTGCATTAGTTTTGTAATGCTGTTTGAAGAGTCTGACTTTCTAGCACCTTTATGCAAAAGTGGTACTTTTTCTGACAACTCGTATTTGCTAAGTACTGGCTCCCAGCTGGCACAGCGTGAGATGGCCAGAGCTTGCAAGGACTGCATCGCTAGCCTGTTCACTTTACCCTAGCCCATGATTTGGAAGTGGTGTGTGTTTGCAAGTTTTTTGCTGTAGCTAATTCTCTAGTTAAGAGATAGTATCCAGGTCTACTAAGGAGGCAAAGAAGGCATTATTTGCATTGTTTTCTGTAAAAGAGCAGGCTGGCTGACATCTTAGCCAGGATTTCTTACATCTCTGTTTATAACAGTGGAAATCATGTTAACTTGTTAAGGGATGAGGCCTGAATGAGAATCCAGCCATCTTCCTAGTATGTGAGAAGGATCTTAAATTTCTTTTTTTAAATCCGTATTTTATACAACTTAGTGTCCTGAATGGATGACAATCAATATAACGTGTGCAGGACAGGTGAGGCCAAAGGTCTGGGAATGTGCTTCCACGATTGCCTTTCCAGATAAGCAGGGCATATTGGGGAACACTGTGCTCCAGAATCCTCCTTCTCATAACGGGAAATTCAGAATGGGGGTTACTCATGGATGAGCTTTATTAATGACAAGTCCTGCTTTTTCCTCCCATCTGCTTATATACACAGAAGATCCTTGCTGGCCTAGAGCACAAAAATGGTGAGATCAAGCCAAAGAGCAGGAGAAGGTGGGGTCTAATTTCCAGGTCATCAAAGGATTCTGAAGATTGGGCTGACCTGGAGGACTTCGATTTCAGTCCATCCCTCACCAGGATTGACCTGCAAAACAAGAAGAGACAGAGTGATGACACTCTCTGCAGGCAAGTGCGCTGCTTGTATCTGTAAACACACTGGATGTGGGATTCCTGAGATCATCTGTACCCATCTGATGGTGCGCTGTCCCCCTCATGCTGACCTGAGCCACGTTCTCTCAATTCAGATTTGAGAGCGTTTTGGACCTGAAGCCCTCTGAGCCCGTGGGTACAGGAAATAGCGCCCCGACCCAGATGTCACATCAGCGGCGGGACACGCCAACCCTGAGATCCGCAGCCAAGCAGCACTACTTGAAGCACTCCCGATACTTGCCTGGTAATATACCTGACTTGCCTTTACATTGATTGTTGATAAGAAACCTTGTCCTTGGAATCACATATTCATAAAGATTCTGTTTTAGAAGGCAAGTCCTTGGGGACTTTTCTTCAGAACTGGTGAGAACATCATAGAAATATTTGCTAAAGCCCAGGCCTTACATTTTTATCTTTCATAGTCCCCTAAGATAAGAAATTTGGTAAAAGAAACCAGATCCAGCCCCCGGGGAGGGAGGAAGTGATAAGAGTTAGGCAGCATGTCTGACGCCCCTCCACCAGTCCAGGGTTAGGAGCAGTTGCCAGCCAGGAAAGCAGGGTAGGAACTTAGGCACACCATCCGGGTAGTACTAATGTCAGCACTATAGTTTGGTGGGTACCCAAGCCTTTCTCTGTATTCTCCATATTGCAAGCTTATGGCATTAGCCAATCATTCATTCACAAATTCATTCGGTCAATGAATACGTATTTATGCATCTACTGTGTGCAAAGCACTGGGAATTCTATGGCAAACAAAACAACCAAGTAGGGCCACTGAGTTGCACAGCTCCAGGGAACTCCTTCACGTTGTAGGCTACATGGTGGCTTCCTGCAGCCCTGCAGGCACCATCCTCGCCCCACGCAGCTGATAGCCAGTGGTGGGAGAAAGACTTCAACAAAGAGATCAGCAGTAATCACAGATGGTGATAAGGTCGTCAGGAAAGGCCTTTCTGAGGAAGCGACTCAGCTGGGCCCCAAAGAATGAGGAGGAACCAAATGTGCAGAGAACTGAGGGAAAGCACACCAGGTGGAGGAAACAGCAAGTGCAAAGGCCCAGAGGCAGGAAGGGGCTTAGACTATGAGAGGAGCAGCAGAGGCCAGTGTGGCCAGAGCATAGTAACATAGTAAGAGAAGAGGTGATATAGTATGCAGTACAAGGAGGCTTTCGGGAGCTTGTAAGAAATTTGGATTTTATTTCATGAGCAGTGGGAAGTTCACGAAGGATTTTAATTGGAGGAGTGATGTGGTTTTATCTATATCTGTGTGCAGAGTAAGTGAGGGCCCAGCAAGCTGTAACTGTCATGAGGAGAGTGAGGAGAGTCGTGGCAGGGCCAGGGGTGTGGTCAGAAGGGAGGGAGTGGGCTGGGAATGTCAGGCCCTCCTATTCCATGAAATTCCTCGCCCTCTGGTTGGGAATAGGGCTTCTGAACACTGTCAGTCTTCATCAGGATTGACATCGTGGTCTTAGAAGAGTGGCTTGGCAGTTCCCAGGATGACCTGGAAGAAGAGGGAACGGATGACAGGTGTAGAGTGATCCAGGTGTGAGAGGAGAGAGGACGCAAGCTACAGCAACCCTAGGCAGTAAGGAGCAGCGAGTGGATTGGAGAATTATTTCTTTTTGTCTCTAGGGGAAGAAGGAGAAAGATAAAAGACGAATTCACATTTTCCGTTCTGAAAAATAGTTGCAGTGCCTGTGAGAACACGAGCAGCCAGGAGAGAAAGTGGTCTGTCTTGAGGTCAAGATGGTGGAGGTCAAGGCCATGGTCTGGCAGGCCTTGGATGTGAGGGCTCATTTTCAGTGAGGGTTGTTGGTACGGACCAGAGTCATCAGCGCGTGGTGGCAGCGATGGTCCAGGTCAGGTGAGAAGATGGAGCCTCAGGGGACAGAAGGGACAGAAAAGGAGCAGAAGGCTGCAGGGCTGGGGGAGGGGTGGACAAGAAGCTGTTAGGGTGATTGAAGGAAAGTGGTTTGTGAAGGGGGAAGATTAGAACGTCCAGGAGCACCGAAGCCCAGGACAGCACCAGAGGGTCAAGACGTGGGACAGATGTGTTGGTATAAGCGTTAGAGGCCTCTCTCAGGCACCCACAAGTGAGACAACATCTTTCCTCTGCCATCTATCAGTTGACATCATCACAGTCAGTTTTTGCTTTGGTTATTGCACCATAGTTTTTGACAAATTGGGTTCTGCATTAATTTCTAGTCTGGTGCAAGATTAAATATGTATTTTGCATTTTAAAATCATTTCTTCTCTATTAGGAATAAATATAAGAAATGGAATACTCTCGAATTCAGGCAAGGACTTTACTCCACCTAATCCGTGGTCTAGTTCTGGTTTGTCTGGAAAATCTTCAGGGACAGTATCAGTAATCAGCAAAATAAATTCAGGTGAGTAATGATTATTAGCTCCTGACAGACAAAAAGCAAATCCGCTGAACAGGGCAAGGTGGGTACAGAGAGCCGTGGATGAGCTGTGGCACCACGAGGGCCTTTGTGGTGTGAAAGCCCAGGCCTCTGTTCCAGCCCTGCCCTTCTCTCTCTCTCTCTCTCTCTCTCTCTCTCTCTCTCTCTCTCTCTCTCTCTCTCTCTCGGCAGCAGGCCCCCGGGACCCACTCAGCTCCCATGGGGGTCTGCCCTCAAGAGTGGCTGGAGAGTATAGTCATCCCTGGCTCAAGGGAAAAACAAAAATCACTTTGCAGACTCCTGCCAAGCCTGATGTCTGAGGCCCTGGCTGTGGTGGGTGTCGGCCTTGGCTGGGTCTGCCTTGTTCCATGTCATTTTCACCCACACAGGCAGCTCCTGCCGCGCGCTGTTTCCCCTTCCGCATTGCTGGGTGCACATCTGGGCTCTACTTCTTTCTGCCTTCATCCATTAGGTGTTTATTTATTTTAAGGAAAACAAAAAAGAAAGCAATAATATATTAACACCCATGTACCCACCACCCAGCATAAGACATCGAACTTTGCAAATACACATGAAGCCCAGTGTCTAGGCCTTTCCCGATTTCTCTTCCCCTCCCCCAACCCTCCACCTCAGTATGATTTGAGTGTTTATCATTCCCATGCACTTTTTTGTTTTTTAATTTCAAAATATTAAGGGCATGCAAATGTTTTTGTTACATGGATACCTTTTGTAATGCTTAAGTCAGGATTTTAGTGTGCCCAACACCTGAATAGTGTTTAGTGTTCATTGTACCCGATAGATAAGTTTTTACCCCTCCCCCCTCCTCTTCTTGATTTCCAATGACCTTTACATCTCTTTGTGCCCATGTGTGCCCATCAGTTAGCTGCCAATTGTTAGTGAGAACATGTGGTGGTTGTTTTTCCATTCCTGAGATGCTTCACTTAGCATAAAGGTCTCCAGTTCCAGCGTGCACTTTTTAAAAATGTATATGAAATTCATGGTGTGGTTTTGCATGTTTTGAAATTTATATGAATATAATCCTAGATTGCCAATTCACTCATTGTAATAAATATATGTGTAGGAAGTATATATATATATCGTATTATATAACATATACAATATATAACTGTACAATACTATAATTTATTATTTATATTAGACCGTAATTTATTTATTCCTTCTCTTCTTGACAAGCACATAAGTTGTTTGCAATTTTTGCTATTAGAAAAGGTGCTGAAGTGAGCATTATTGTACGTACTCTCTTGTGCACATGTGTAACAGTTTCTCTGAGTGTATTAACTAGGAGTAAACCATCTTCAACTTTACAGATATTGCCAAATTGCTCTCCAGCAGGGTGTGGGAGTTGTGCTACATCCTTGATGCCACTTGGTACTGTCAAGACTAAAATTTGTGCTAATCTGATGTGTGTGAAATGGTATCTTACTGTGATTTGAACTTGCATGTCCTGTTTACTAATGAGGTTCATCATCTTTTTTCTTGTGTTTATTGACTATACTTTTTTCCCGTTTGTGACTTATTTAAATTCTTTTCCCACATTTCTTCATTCACTAAAGTACAAAATGCACCCCAGCTGACCAACACAACCCCTCACACATGCATTCCTGACCATGTTTCCCACTCTGCCTGCAGCAGCTGCTGAGAATACTCAGTGGTGTGAAGACAGAGTAACTCTATCACTTACCACCTTTGCCTAATGGTAGAACTTCCATTTGTATAATGGACAATAATAGCATTCTTCGTTACCCATGTGTACCTGTAAGCATCATAGGTGTTCATTCACTCATCCAATATTAATCGATTGCCCACTATATGCAAGGCATTCCATTAATGTCCCTGAATGCAAACATGAGTAGCATACAGTCCCTGCCCTTAAAGCACTCTCAAATGGAAATGACATAGAAAGTGAATATATTTAATATTTTAAAATAATGGTTAGATTTTTCTGAATCTGGACAAGAATATTTAATATGTAATCATTTGGAATAGTTAAATAATTTAAGATAACTTGTGCACTGATCAACAAGAAATGGTTAAATGAATTGTGGTTTAGCTATACTCTAGGATTTGTATATGCTGACTGACATGGTAGGATAACCATTCTATATTATGGAGTGAAAAAAGCAAATGTCAGAACAGGCTAAAGCTACTTTTACAAAAAATAAAGAAAAATTTCGAATTTCCCTCTTTTTTACATTAACAAATAAACAACCTTCTGTTTGGTTGCTGTCTAGAGGAACAGCACTGTGTTTGCCCTTCCTGGTCTTTCTGACAGTGTGGTGTGGTAGAATGCTCTGCTCAGAATTCACTGTTTTCATCATAATTCTTTTTTTTCTCCCAAAAGTAAAAACTTAATTCTTTATTGCTCTGCACTGTTATCCTTTAACACTGTTGGCGTCTTGTGTACCATATCTTTGTAGTAATGAGCTTTTGCTTTTGCAAATCAGTTGGTTCCGGCTCTACAAGTTCTAGTGGGCTGACTGGAAATTATATCCCTTCCTTTCTGAAAAAAGAAATTGGGTCTGCTATGCAGAGGGTACACCTGGCACCTATTCCAAATCCTTCCCCTGGTAAGTTCTATTTCAGATTATTCATGAATTGATTCAACAAATAGTTATTGAACAACACAACTGCTTTGTGCCAGGCATGTCGTAGGCCTGGGGTCCACCAACGAATGAGACAGAACTCCCTACCCTCAGGGAACCTGCACTCTACAGAAAATAAATGAACCAAATAAGTACTATATAGAATATAATAAGTCAGATGCTTACTGATAGCGCTAAGGAGAAAAATAAAGCAGGCAGGAAGTAGGGTTGGGGCAGTTGGAGCATGGGGTGCAGATCACAGTTTCAGATAGGGTAGCCAGAGAAGAGCTCACCACAAAAGAATTGTTGAGTAAAACCCTGAAGGCTGTCATTGAGCAAGCATGCAATATGAGCGAGACTATTCTAGACATGGGATTCTTATGTGCATGGGCTTTGAGGCAGAACAAGCGTGGCAAATTCAAGGAGTAGCAAGGAGGCCAGAGGACAGTAGTGGCATGAGGGGGCATAGCAAGATGAGGTCGGGGTGACAAGAGGCCTGATGGCATGAGGACTTGCAGCAGGTCACTGTAAGCGTGTTGTCGTTGACTCTGAGCAACGTGGCAGCCCCTGGAGGGTTTTGAGTAGAGAAGTGTGGTGATCTGAGAGCCATCTTCACAGGTTCCCTTAAGCTGCTGGTTGTCATGAGACTGAAGCAGGAGCAAGGTGGGAAGCAGGGAAACCAATGAGGGGGCTGTTGCAATTATCCAGGCAACAAATGATGCTAGCTTGGGCCCAGGGTGGTAATAGTTGAGTTGGTAAAAAGTTGCCAGATTCTGAGGGCCAACAGGAGGTGCTAACAAATTATAAGAGGGATATGAAAAAGAGAGAGGAGTCAAGAATGATACCAGTAGTTTTGGCCTGACAACTATAAAATGGGGTTGTCCTTAACTGCAATTGGGAAGACTCATTTTCTGACGTTTTTGTCACTAGCACGCATTTATTTGCACTTTGCTCTCGTGGGTCCCACGTCAGTTAGGCCAGCCTTCTTCTGTCGTTGCAGGTTATTCTTCCCTGAAGGCCATGAGACCTCATCCTGGGCGACCTTTCTTCCACACACAGCCTAGAAGCACTCCTGGGTTGATACCACGGCCTCCAGCCGCCCAGCCAGTGCACGGCCGGACAGACTGGGCTTCCAAGTACGTGTCTCGGCGGTGACTGACCATCTTGGCGATGAAGCCCTTCGCCGGGAGAAGCAGGACACTTTCTGGCAGCCCACTGGTGTTTTACACCTGCAAGAAATGTGCAGAGGGTATAAAAGCAAACCAACGCTTTATAGTTATTCTTCTGAACTAAGACATTTCAATATTCTTTTTTAAAATTTTTTTTTAAATATTGTTTTGAATGCAATACCCTTTTTTTGTATAAAATTATTTTATTCTAAAACTGGGTCCCATTATTTTCTTAAACAACAGCATTTTGTATATATGGATTATGTTTTAGCATTTTATACAGTCAACTTTGTAAGGGACTTTTTAAAGATTAATTGATTTTTCCTTTGGGGTTCCAGATAATATTTTATACAGATTTTGAAAAATGTAATAATATTAATGCAGTATTGCAACAAGGGTGCAATTGAAGGCTGTGCGACATAGAGAGTTATTTACTCTGTATGTGGATATTTGTAAAGTGGTTAAATTTTAAATGTGGCTCGTTAGGTCCTTACTTCAGGCTTTCTTGGACTGACATTAGAAAAGTGATCCTCTACTTTTCTTAGTATCATGTGAAAGGTTTGATTTTTTTGATACCACTGTTCTGTTCTAAAAGTACTATTATGTAACTTTGTTTTATTTTTGCTCCCCAGATGAAAGAACTATAAGTAAATATATTTTGAAACTTTTACAACACCCTTTAATGTGGTTGCAGATATCAAATGAAACCAAACTTAATCATACTATGCCACCACATTCTGTATTCTCCCATTTTTGTAATCAAACTGTATAAGTACCCATAAAAGGTGAGACTTCCACATCAAAAGGTTTTCAGCAGTTCTCAACATAAAAGTTAACACAGTCAATGAAATTTCTATCCCTGCCAAGACACATGACCAGAAAACTAAGCAACAGAAGGTTTTCGATTATAATAACTGAAATGGAATTTTATATTCAGTTCAGTTTCTCAGGCCTGGCTAGAACAGCCAGTGACTAACCTTCTGTCCTAGCCAAATTCTCAGGACAATTTGGGGAGCAGAAAAGAGTTATGGCAGAGATTCCACTTAGCTAGGAAGCCACGGTTGCCTGATGTTAGTGTCCATAGCATGCCGCATTTGAACTCCTGACCCTGGTGCAGTTTCTTTCAAGAGTGAGAACTCTATTTGTTGGGCAGAGGCTGTTCCATTGAGAGGAATGTTTACAGCAATTTTGAAAATGACAAAGCTAGTTTGGAGACCGAAAAAGAAAAAAGGTCCACTCTCATCCCTCCCTGTATGACACTTGACACTTTTGCCTCTACTCATGGTCACCGTAAAGGCAAGAGGGAAGGTCACCACCAGTGAACACAGTGGGATCTCAGCAGTGTATTGACTCATTCTCCCAGGGCTCAAACTCCGTCCTCTTGGTTCCAGGTTCCAGGAGGCAGCAAGTTGAACTGTATGAAATGATCATTTTTGTAGGTTAAAGTGGTGGGTTCAATGGATATAGGGACTTTCACATGGTTCAATTTAATGAGTTGGTAAATGATTGCTTATATTAGTAATATGTTGTAGCCTGAATAAATTACTGCGGTTTCCAAAGGGTCCTAACCTAAAATCAGGGAGTAATGTATGTTTTGGAGATTCTGACTCAAAAATATACTTGGCCAAGCACTGCGATCCCTAGGGGCATGAAATAAGCACATGATGGATGTGGATTTGATGGGTGGTATTTTCCTGTTACCAAGCTGGCGGCAAAGCTTCAGAAAATATATATGCAAGCACAACTTGAAGCTGAATTCAATTCTGTATTATATTCTCAATTCATTATCTAAAGCATCAGAAAATGTGTTTTCAGAGATGAGTCCTTTACTATGAGGTTACTATTTATTTTCATTTTCTGTATTATATATAAAAAGTAAATTAATCTTTAACCTTGCCAGAAAGCTGGGTTTAAATTGTAAATATCCCTTAGAGAAGCAAATACATCATTTAATATCATATTCTTGGTACTCTAGCTTATGTTAAGGTCGTTACATTTTTTCTAATGAAAAAGCTAGTTACCTGGTTATTACACATTGTAAAATTGTTTTTCTAATACTTTAGTAGGGCTCAACTTCAGAAAATACTTTCTTCTTCCTTTCACTCTTCCCTTTGTTTAACAGCAAACAACTTCCCCTGGGAAGCCAAACATGTTTATTCATATGAAAATCAAGTAGCTGATGTGTAGTTGAGAAAACTGGAAAGACTGAAAAAAGCCTAAATTCTAAAGAACTAGCAAAATCCTATGAAGTACTTTTCCCTCCTGAAATGGGTAAAGGACAAATTGTGTGTACAAGCTATGTACTGTTGAAGGGAATGGTGACCATTTTTGAAGTGAAAATAAAATGCTACCTATCACATATATTTTTAGTTTTTATAGAATTATAAAAGGTAATGCAAGACACCAACAGGAATGATGAGTTTAACTGTATCTATCCATGACCATACCTCATTTATAGACAGAAAGCTTTCTGGGGCATCAGGAAATGGTACAGGGTTGGTTCTCATTCCATGCCCAAAGGTTCAGTGACCCTGGTGTGCCTCAGCCGGGGCAAACACAGCAGGGACAACTGTATTTGCATAAAAGCTGCTTGGGGCATGATTGTTCATTTTCTAATAAAATTCTATTAATTACCAAGCCCTCACCCAGCTCATGTATGATAGGATTTATGAAGGCAGAAAATTGATTTTCAAATAATTTTTTAGACACATTTCTTGCTTAGAGGACTATATACATCTAATAAAGTGGCACTGTGTCATCTTCTGGAGTTATCAAAAATTGAATACATCAACATAAGATAAGAATTCTTTTGTTAAAAAGTGCAAATACAGGTACCGTCGGAATTAATGGGCACCACGTTTTCTCATGAAGTAGATTTCCCTACCATCAAGTCATTGTTTTGTGCCATTTAGGAAAGGGAAAAAGGGAATTTAGGCTCTCCATTTCAACTCAGTGTGTGACCAAAAGCAATATGTTTATAAGAAAATGTTTGGCATACTAATTATGTCATTTTAAGCATACTGTAGCAATGTGTTTAATGTACGTGGTTTCCTTTTAGAATTATTTTTACAGTTTCCAACCAAACGTACTGTACTTTCATGTAATTTATTTTGAGGACTTTCTCATGGAAACCATTAAGAAGACAAACTGGAGACAAATATCATTAATCTGTATTATCAGGTTCTTACAGACACTGTGCTAATGTGAATTTAAAATGACCTGAACAAAGTCTTCTGATCTCAGATATCTCAACACAGATAGCAGTTTAGTCACCTGATTTGATTACAATGGAGTAACTGATGATATATTTATTTATAAAGCAAATATTCATAATGATAAGATAGGAGGACAGAAAACCACTTAAGCAAGACCCTTCTGAAATAAAATGTTGCTTTTTGAATAGTTTATCCTAAGGTGTTTAAAAATGTTAACTTGATGTAAGGAAAATTCTCCTGCTCCAAATAAAGTTGCAGTTTAAGAAAAGTTGATTGGAGTGTTCTGTTTTTGTTTTCATGTTCTTCCATTAGTATTTCCTAATTTTCGTACATTATTTCATATGGAACTTTGATGTTTTATAATTTCTTAATGCTTGTATTGGTGAATTCCTAAGTGTGCCTCTCACTCATAGAACACAGCAACCTTACTGTATAATCGTGGGCATTTGTCTAACTTACTGGCATCGTGGTGGGCACTCTCTGCCCCTTCAGAAGCCCTGACGAAGTTGTTTCAAGCTCTCAGTCATCCTTCCTGATGAGAAAACCTGCTGTTAGAATAGAATCTGACACCGGTCACTTATAGCTAAGGCTGAATTTAATTTAAGCCAGTTGTTTTACTCTTCTCTTAAACCAAGATTTGAAGCTCTTGATTTTTGTTCAAGCAATTTTAGCCATGACTGAATGGACAGGTGAAGGGTTAAGGCTGAAGGGACTTCCCAGGGCCTCTGAAAGTATATCAGGTAGGTAGGTGGGTAGACAGCTCGATGGGATGAGTAAGACTGTCCCAGACCCAGGGCAACTCCAGGGGTCCCCAGGATGATTTCAGGGCCTTCAAAGGAATAAAATGGCCTTGGGGTACCTGTCATAGGATGGTAGAATTATTATAACAGGATTTTTCATTTCTTCACAAGGCTGTGTAATAATAGAGGTTTTTTTTTTTTTGAGACAGAGTCTCACTGTGTTGCCCGGGCTAGAGTGCCATGGCATCAGCCTAGCTCACAGCAACCTCAAACTCCTGGGCTCAAGCGATCCTTTGCCTCAGCCTCCCGAGTAGCTGGGACTACAGGCACGCGCCACCATGCCTGGCTAATTTTTTCTATGTATTTTTAGTTGTCCAGTTAATTTCTTTCTAATTTTAGTAGAGACGGGGTCTCGCTCTTGCTCAGGCTGGTTTCGAACTCCTGAGCTCACACAATCCCCCCCGCCTCGGCCTCCCAGAGAGCTAGGATTACAGGTGTGAGCCACTGCGCCCGGCCGTAATAATAGAGTTTTATGATACTACCTCAGTTATTCTTTCAGGTGAACAAGGCTGCTAGGATGATGTCGCCCTATTTTATAAGGTTGGACATCTGAAATTGTCATTTTTGAAGGTTAAACTAGTAAGATATCAGCAATTTGATATGATTCAATCAATTAGAATTAAGAAAATGGAGATAAGTGCTTGGTTTCAATGTCTGATAAAAACTGTCACAAAAGACTATAAAAACCACAACCTTGCACAAGGCTTTACACAAAAATTACTGGCATCACTCTTGTTATTTATCTTGATAGCAAAGGATAATTATTTCAAAACAATTAGGTAATCCTCCCCATTTTTCCCTTTAAAACCCTTTGTCTTTTTTTACCTCCCTGAATACACATACAGCTTATGTGTGTATTGGCACGTGTATTGCCATTGCAATTCTCTATTCCCAAATAAATTTCTTTTAGACAGCCTCTGTTATTTACATTGACACCAGTAATCCAGAGATGATTTAAAGTATACAGGAGGATGTGCAGTAAGTTATATGCAAATACTACACCATTTTGTGTAAGAGACTTGAGCATCCTTGGAGTCTGGTATCCGCAAGGGATCTTGGAACCAATCCCCCACGATACTGAGGACGATTGTACTTCAAAAGATGTTATACATGATAGACACATGCAATTTTATATGTTAATTTAAAGGAATAATCAACCCCTTGAAGGCAAGAACTGGATTTTAGGATTTATTTTTATATCAAATCCAGTAGACCTGGGAATAAATGTTCAATAAGCCTTCTTTAATTAGAGACTAAAAACAACAACAAAAAAAGAATGATCACTTTCAGAAGGATTAGAAAATACAGCTTCTTACTCATGTTAAGCTGAGTAATTTCTGTGATAAGCCAGAATTAGAAAGATGAAATTGAACATATACTGTTAGTCTTATTTGAAAGGTTTTCTAGGTCTTGGGGTGTCCAGTGGTCCTTGACTTGCCTCTCTTCTTACCCTGCCTACGTTCTCTGGATGAACTCACCCTTTTGCTGACAATTTCATCCATCTCTGTCCTGTGTTCTGTCTTCACTGCCTTATTCAACTGTCTAGTGGACACTTCCAGCTGGATGCCTCATAGGTAGGAAAGACAAATCAACCCATTTCCCCAAACTTTGGCTTCCTCCTCCACCCATAGAAACCAAAGTATTGCTCATTCATTCACTCATTCATTAATTCATTCAAGTAGTCTCTGCTTACTCTACACTTAGCAGGATAAAAAAAAAGACTAAAATCCTTAATCTCATGGAATTTACATTCTAGTAAATCTATGGATAGATAAATAAATGTTAAGATTGTATATAAGATGACAATAAATGTTATGAAAAGCAGACAAGGATGATGGAAAAGGAGAGAGAATGAGTGTGTGTGTGTGTTTGTGTGTATTGGGAAGGGGTATCACGCTAAACTTTTCCTCTTCCTCCCTTCCCTTTGACCTGAGTAATAAATCCTGTACCGCCTACCTCCTTAATATTTCACCTTTTCTTACCCATATTCTTCAACCTCATGATGCTACTGTAATTCACACGGACTGTTAACAGATCTCTTTCTCTACCCTCAACGTCCCAAATCATTTTCCACACTCCTGCCAGAGAAATCTCCTGAAAATAAAATCTGATCATGTTAGTTGGTGCAATTGTTTGGCACTGCAGGCTTCTTAAGCAAGGTAGTCTCAAGAGCCCCTCGTGGGTGACGAAAATAACAACAACTCTAGCCTGAGAAATAACAGAAACTGCCTTTACAATCAAGAACTATTTTTGAAGGCATATAGTTTTTAACTTCAAAATGCATGTGAATTTTGCATTCTGTTTCATAATGTAGCCTTGACAATTGTAATATATTTTTAAAGTTTTAACTTATTTACCAGCCAAGTTACTTTTTGAGCACCACCCTTATGGGGGTTCATGATGCCCCCGATATAACCAGGTCCCCGGGCAGTATGTGCTGCAAGAAATGGAAGAGACAAAGACATGGGCACAAAAAGTAAGGCGAAAGGGTGCGAGGAAGTCAGGGGACCACCAGCATTCCAGTGACCCAGGTGGCATTGACTGAAATCTAGCACCCATTTTTATTTTCTTTTTCATGCTATAGATTACAATGATTTCATGTGAAAAGCTCGTGGGTTACAATGTGTAGAAGTTTCAAGTCTCCCCTAATAGTCACAAGATGTCTTAGCTAATTACTCTTTTATCTGTAGAAACAGGAACACATAGCTCATTACTAAGCACAACTTAAGGTATGTACAGATAGTAT